TTTATATTTACCTGCCCTTACCATTTTAGGATATTTAACAATACACTAGTACACTTGATTTTCAATCTCTTAATCATTCCAGTCTTGATCATAGCTTGACCTCTCTAGTCACTAGAGGAGTTTCCGGATGTAACCACTACCAACCCGGCCAAACACTCACAACCTACCCTTACTACTTCACATCTCCTCTCAACCTTTGATCCCGTGGTACGGTCTATCATGGCCTGTTAACCATTTTCATACTAATCTCCTTCCAGGGTAATACCAACAATTAATAATTAACGATAATGCCCATCACTACCATTATAAGTAACACACGATGACACCAGGACCCTTGGTCTCCCCCTACCGTATCACATTCCGAGTGGGGCCTAACCATTTCACCCCGCTCATTACGAAATACATTTAATTACCTTACGACACCGCGAACTCACATATATAAACATAACGCACAATCCATTTGTTTTTCCAGTAGTAATGTACAATTCCACATTCTCAATAAAACACATTTATGACAAGTCAATGGTCCTCTCATGGAACTCATACCCAAACTGCTAGTGTGCCGGAACGTGGCACCTGATCCGATGCAAGTTAGTGTGTTGGTACGTGACACCCGATCCAAACATCACAACCACAATCACATCCATAACGTACAATACTCACATCATATAGTCAAGTACTCAAATTCCTGACATGCGTTGTTCATAATCAATTCATTAAGTTCTTTACCACTTTTTATACTTCGCTTATACGCATGCATACCATATAGCAACAAATCGACATATATCACACAAAATAGGAAATCAAACCATCCCCAAACCCTAGTTCACGAGATAGGGCTCTCTCCTACGGTATACGGCTGATGTAACACCTAACAATACATGTACAATCATCTCTTTTTTGCTGCACGAAGCCTACGCATGAATTCTACCGTCAATACCACTATACTACACAGTGAATACGGATTTACAACTACTCAATTAAATAAACCTAGCCTACATGGGTGGCAAACAGCTGTAGAGAGATTATAGCTCTAATCTAGGCTTTCGAACGATGAGACGGTGTATTTTGACCAGAAAGCCACAAGCTATCGACATCCTTACGCTAGAAATCTCCTTCTCCTTCCTTCCCAAGCCTAGAGCAGCCTTTTGAGGTTTTTTTAGGGTGATTCTCGCCTCTTTTTGGTGTTTTTGGAAAAGGAGTAATTAAGACTTCACGTTATTAAAGTTCTTTTCCGTCATTCTCGCTCTGGTGGCCACTTATCCCGCTAGAGCGCCGCCGCCTAGCGACATCTGGCTTGCTTTGGCGGGTTGAGGGCCCCAATTTTCCTAACATTTTCCGTTTCCTAATTAACAACGGTTCGGGTCGTTACATTATGCCTCTTTTGTTACTTATGCATTTGCTGATACCATGTAAGTATCAATAACACTGAGAAAAGTTTGCTATTTAGTGTAATTTATAATAGTGACTCCAGAAGCCTCGAGCATTTCGACATGATCTGATATAATTTTGAGTTTCATGTCACAAATTTGATTGTGTTGAGCCTATGGTAAGTATGAGTACGTAAAGTCAAAATTTACCTCCTTAAGGTCTGTTTGGAAAGTTACATGGTAATTGGAAATGGTGTAATTAATATGCTAGTAATTATCAGCTTAGTAATTACACAATCTAGTAATTATGATGACTTGTTTGTTTGTCACACTGTAATTACAAGTGCAATCATAAGATTGTATTAAGTTTTTAGAAAATAAAATTTAATTATCTAAAATTAAAAATTTATATTAGACAAATAAGAGCCTTTAGAATTGATATTAAAATAAATCTTTAAATATGTATTATCTTTGAAAATATATTAATTAATAATCATATGTTCTTAATTAATATTAGAAAAAATACATAAAGTCCCCATTAAACTAATACCTTTTTTAAAAAAAAGATACTTAAACTTTGCGGGGGTCCTATGATCCCCTGAACAATTTTAAAGTAATATGATTACCTCATTTTTCGATCAGGCACACTTTTAAGAAAAGAAGTAATGTCACGCACCAATCATTAATTGCCAAGTGTTAAAATGCCATAAATTTAAAAAATAAAAAGAGAAAAAGGCTAAATTTTTATATAAAATATAAACAGAAATCTGAAACCCTCTCTTCCTTCCACCTTCTCCTCCACTTTCTCTAATCCTCTTCAACACAAATAGGTAAAGAAGAGAAAAGTGATAGAATATTAAGGAAGATCACTGATAATTGGTTAATAGAAAACATGATGTCGTTGTAGACTATAGAAGTGGAGGAAGAATGATATTTTTTCGTTGTCGGAAAATGCTTTTTCACCGAATAAAATGGTGACTAGAAGTGACCATCTCCTTGTTCATTTTTCCTTTGGATTTTTATTATCTTTCATCATCTCTATCAAAAACTACACATCAACGACGAATTTCATTATCAATGCAATTCAAAAAGCATCTCTTTATCACCATAAAATACTTTTTCACCACATAAAATGAAGGTCAATAGTAACCATCTCCTCTTTATTTTTTTCTTGTCATTTTTTTTACCTTTTGATCATTCCTATTAAATAAATCAAACACAACAACGGAAATCACTATCAAAGTTGTTGAAGAAGACCAGGAAAACAAAGAATTTAATAGAAAATAAAATTTGAAAATAAAAATAAAAAAGTATCAGAAAAGAGAAAAGAAATAGTAAGCACCTTGGTTCATCTCTCTCACGCTCTCAAAGAGAGTGAGCTACACTTTCTTTGCCAGATTGCAATAAATGATACTCCCTTCGTTTAAAAAAGAATGACCTAATTTCCTTTTAAGTCTGTTTAAAAAAGAATGACCCCTTTTTTTTGGCAACACTTTAACTTCAACTTTCCACGTGGCATGTTTAAGGCCACAAGATTAAAATGCATTTTGGTACATTTGACATAACTTTAATTTAGAACCACAAGATTAAAAAGTCTTCTTTCTTTTTTTAAACTTCGATCCAAGTCAAATTAGACCATTTCTTTTTGAAACGGAGGGAGTATTATAATACAAATATAAAATTATTTAGGGGGCTCATAGGACCTCCGCAAAGTTTAAATGTCTTTTTGAAAAATATGTAGTAGTTTAATGGGGTCTTTATTTTCTCTTGATATTATAAAAAAAGTTATTGATTTATATTTTTTAAAATTAGTATATTTTAATTAAATTAATCATAAAAACTAAAAATACAAGATTTCTATTAATATCATAAAATACATGTTTGACAAGAAAATAATACTATACAATGTCATAAAATTTAAAATATCTGACAAAAAAATAATCTATCAAGTCTAATTAAAAGATAAATGACTTGCAATGTGAAATATCAAGTCAATACTACTAAAAAAAAATGAAATTGAAAAATATAACATAAGTTCTAAATTCAGAACAAAATATTTAATATAATACTCTTATGTCAAATTTCAACATAACATACACAAGTATGATTTAAAAGAAGAAAAAAAACGTAAGTGTATAATTTTATTCAACAATGAATTCTACTTTAGTTCAAATAGAATATTAATAACATTAAACATAAAATAAATTTTCTTAAAAAATAATACGAAAAATTGCATGGAATCACATGAAGTAAAAGTTGAGAATTAGAAGAAAATGAAATATAAATATATTTTTAGAAAATATTATAATAATAAAAAATAAAAAATAAAAAAAATAAAAACAGCAAAAATAAAAGGAAGAAATTTGCAATTCACAAACTAAAATAATAATAATAAAAAAATAAATCAACAATTCATATCTACTCTTGAAAATTGGAGAGTGTAATTAACCCGATCAATTATATTCAATTATTTATTGTCCAAGTAATTATATAACCTACAAAACATGTGACACAGTATAAAGGGAAAATACATAAAAAAAAAACCCTGAACTTGGCACAAAATCTTACTTTAGTACTTAAACTACACGGGTATTTATATACCCCCTTTAACATCTTTTAAGTGATTTTTTTCAACTCTCCCATCACCAGCCCAGTTGAAGGCTGAGTGTTGTTGAGTCACATGCGTTTTCATTCGTCCACGTGTATATTAACAAAATTCCTAATTAATTGCTTAAATCTCCATAATAATTATTTTTAAAAAAATATTGAGCCAAAAATTAAACCCATCAATGAATTTACTCCTCAATATACAAACTATAATTCAAATTTCAATTGCATTTTCAGTTTAGTTATACGATACCACCTTTCTCAAAAATTAAAAAAATTATTTGCATAAAAATGAAAAATTATTAATGAATTGGGCTAAATCTCCATAGTTAATCTTTTGCCAACAATATCTTCGATTTTTTTAATGGAAGTCAACTTCATTCTGATAACGCTTTAAACTGATAGATCTAATAATCTTCTTTGATGTAAAAAAAGGTGGGTGAATCAAACACCAAAAAATTTGTAAAAAAAAGAAAGAAACGATTAAAAATAGAAAAGAAAAGTAGAAGAAAAAATGTGGAAGAAATTACATTTGGAAGTAAATGTTTACTTGAACTAAATGAAAAGAATAAAAAAGAGAAAGAGTTATGAGAAGAGAAAAAAAATGAAGAAGAACGATGCAGAAAAAGAACAAAAATGGAAAAAAAAAATGAAGAAGAAGATGCAGAAAAAGAAATATAGAGAGAGAAAAGTTAATTCAAAATAAAATATTTAAAAATTAGTAAAATAAGTTATTAAGTATGTTATCCAATAAAAATATGACATGTGTCAGTTTTTTTGGTGTCTTTTCCTTTCTCACGCGCTTATGAAAAGTTGGTTATACAAATTTTGCCACGTCACTCTTTAAGGGGGGTAATTAAATTCAATTCAAATTAAATTAGGGGGTAAAGAAATACTTGTATAGTTAAAGTGCTAAAGTTTTGTGCGGACAAGTTCAGGAGAAATTGTATGTCTTTTCCATATAATTATATCCAATATTACACAACTACAAGTAAGGTGAATTGGCAAACAAACCCTTACTGAGAAAAATAATAATTAAAAAGCTTGTCCAAGTAATAGTCGGCGGTAATATCTTTTGAGTTGCTGAATAGGTGTTGATTTGGAGTTGGAAGTTGAAGTTGAAGTTGAAGGTGAAGGTGAAGGTGAAGGTGTGTTTAGGCATGTCGCAGAATATGGATGAAAGGGAAGTAAAAATATATCACGAGAGGCAAAGATTACAGTTTTGCCTCTTACATTCTCTTAACAATCTCTTCCAGGTACTCTTATTCTTCTTCTTCTTCTTCTCTACACCGAATATCACAGTTGTACATAATTTTGCATTCTTTTCTTTCTCTGATATACCAATTTTGAACCAACCTCATAATCTTACCAATTTTAGTATGAGACGTTTGAATGGGTTTTCTTTCAAATCAAATATATGTATATTTTACACTCACATATCCTCCTAAATCATAAACTAACTTTTCTAGTTTGATTGCTGTGATATTTAGGTCAAACTTTTTTTATTTTATATTTAGGTCAATTAATGGAAATATGATTACACTTTTTTTAAAAAATTTTTTGGGGACAAAACCCATGTTGGTTTGATGATGACATATTGGTTCTACTCAGGGAAAAGATACATTTACAAGATCTGATTTAAATAAAATTGCTGAGAAACTTGATGTGGATGACCCTAACAAGGGGAGCTGGAATCCTGTATCACTTGTTTTTAGACCTCATCATAATGAAATCACCGGGAACTATGATATCAACGTATTGATTGCAGCGCTCCAACAGAAAGCCAAAACTGTTGTTTGGCATGATAAGCGAAATGGGGCTTCTTCAATTGGTCTTGATGGAACTGATGATCGGCTCATGGGAATTGTTCTTAATGTTCCTGTTACAAAGTTTAGTGGCCTTTGGAGAAGCAGACATTGGGTTACGTTAAGATGTATTCAGGGGGTTTGGTATAATCTAGACAGTGATTTTATTGCTCCTTATGCTTTTAAAGATACCCAACAACTTAGGGAGTTCTTGGATCGTATCATTACTGCTGGTGCTGAGGTTTTACTGGTCATGAATGATAAACAATGAGTTGTAACATGTTCTGCAGCAGTTTGATTTCATTTTTTGACTTGAGCTGTTTGAAGCACAATGGAGGGTACATGTTGCACTATGAAGACTTTAGTTCCCATGGTTGCTATTAATACATGCCCTGGGCACATGCTGTGTATTCTATTGATTGTTTTGAAAGTTATCTTTTACACTGTCCAATTGACTATAATTGAAAATAATTCAAGTTTTCACTTGAGTTATCTTCAAGGTATACTTTATTGCTTCTTGTTCGATTTACCATTCAAAGTGGATCTTCCTTCAAAGTATGAAATGACCTTACTATCTTGGGTATCATTCGTTATTTCAGCTTCTTCTTACACATTATATTTGAAAATAGCCATTACTTTTTCGGCAATGAGAAAATTGGTCGCTCTTTTAACACTCTGAAACAGAAGAAAGGAAAAAGGTGAAGTATATACATCAAAATTATGGTTTTATCTGTAGGAAGACATTGGGCTCTATTATATTTAGTGCATATCCAATCAAAGGGATAGAATTAGTCGAAGAAAGAAAAACTTAATTGCATACTTGTAATGGAGCTTTTATTAATAGCTAGAACCTTGGCCTCCAGTTTATTTGTTTTTGGACCAATAAGATAGCAGAGCCTGTCTGCATGTTCTTCAACTACTTGTCTGCAATTTCTCTCTGCAGTTCAAGAAAACAGGGATGTCGAGCTCTCACTTTAGCTTGTAATTCTCCAAGAACTAACTTTTTGTTGTAAGCATTGCTATTATATAGGAGAATATTGAACTTTTCCTTCTGATTTCTATTCAAAATATAGTTGGAAATGCTACTTCTTTTGCCTTTTGTCTTCCCTGGTGGCTCTTTTTAGCTATGAGTTGATACTTGGAGGCGTGACATTGTCAAGAAGAGGTTGTATGTAGAATGATTTGTATTTCATCATGTGGCCGAATCTAATTCTCCTCTCCGAAATTAACTCTTGCAGTTATACTCTTCGTATCCAGGTGTAAGTCCAACTTTCTTAGCCACTATAATCTTTTGTCACAAAGGGAACTGTCTTTTCAATGTTTGATTGCATCCAAACTGCCTTTTCTAGTGTTATTGTTTATTTATGAACATGCTAAAAAGAGGAATATCTAATTGTTTTTGAGAATATCATTGCTAGCATTCTGAATCTGAATTGAATAGAAAAGCACTATGTTGGAAGGAAGTATATGTATCTATCTGGAGCACGGAATTGAGTTACTGCTGGTTATCCAAATGCCAAAATGTTCAACATGCTGTTGGAAATAATACAAAGATTTGGTATATCTGAGGAGTGAGGAGAAAAGTATCCCATTTTAGCTGGGCTTCAGCTTAGTGTAACTGGATACTTACATAATTTCATTACTTCTAAATCTGGCTGATTTCTGATGCTATTTTTCTGAAAATATTGCATGGTTTCTGAGTTTGGGTATTCTGTGGCATGGATATGTCTTGCGCTTTTTAACTCTAATTGAGCATCTTGAACAATTTAGTCGGTCGAACTAGAGCCAAAATTCCACCTTGAACCTGAGGTGGAAATCAAACAGTAGACAGTGGACATAGTAAACGAATCATAAATTTGGAGGCACTTGGCTTTTCCCCTTGGTCTTTCACAATAATATCTTGGCTGAAATGTTGAATTATGAGTATAGCGATGTCGACATGTGAATATCGTGGCAGTGTATTTATTTTTACCTTGAGTACAATTATCGGACGAACCAGTCTTAGATAATCAAACAGTTGGCTCCACTTGGCTTGTTCACAGCTCTGAGCATGACAGTTGATAGTTCCTTGAGGATTCTCTTGACCATATCCACTAGTAAAACCTTATCATAATTGTGTTTTCTTTTCTTTACAAAGTCAGTCCCTTTTGTGAGTCATCGTTAACCATAACCTGAGATTGTTAAAGAATACCTTAGAGAAAGAATGTGAGATGTCTCCAGCAACCTGAAAATCTTCAGAATAAAATATGCTGCTGGTTATAGTCTGCATCCTCCTGTAGTTTGTCCATCGACTATATTCCAAGATGATGGAAATTCCATATTGTTTCGAGTACTCAAATATTAACTAGCATCCGGACTTGATTTTGAGCATACTAGAACTGCCTACATAAGAAGTATGTCTCCACAGGTCACATTGATGTTTTATGCTTAAATGGCTTGAGGGAATTCATGATTTATTAATGTGAGTAGCAAATATGGTGCATGACAGAGTTGTTTTCATTGTGTTTGGATTCTTTGGGAAGCAAAATCTATTTCCCTTACAATTATTGTTGCTGACAAGTTAGTCTAAGCTCCAATCTGAATCTGAAAGGGTAACGTCTTTAGTTTTCTCTTATTAGAATGCTCAAAATGATGAAATTGAGAATGACTGATTTGGACTTGTCTTAGTTGATGATGAAGATTCTCCTCTTTGGGTGATCTTTTATTTTTCTTTTAGTACAAGTATACATGAAGAGTATTTTCAGTTCCCAGCAGTACTTCTTCCAAGTTCCACTATCTTTACTTTGTTATAATATTACCCAAAGGTTGGTGTTCTGAGCATTTTCTAATCAAGAAAATGAGGTAAAGTACAGGCTGATTCCTTTGGTTATATACAGGTAAGTTCTTTTTTCCTGTATTTCACTTCACCGACGTTTCATTCTTACATGGCAATTGACAAAGATAAACTACAAACCGTTAATCAAGGTACTTGATTTAACCGTTACCCTTGAAAATCATATGAGTTGCATGTGTCTTTCTTAAGTTTTGCAGCTTCTTCATAAAAAAAGAAGTAAATTTGTATATTTTAATTTCATTCCTTAGCATTTTAAATACTAATGATTATTTTGACATCTTTTTCCTTCACATGAACGAATGCATGAGAAAGAATATCCTACAAGGATCATGCCACCCATCTCTCTTTTTTGATCTTCAAATTAGACCAAGGGAAAATTTCTAAACAAGAAACTTTTATCATTATGGTTGTGATAATTACATACTACTCTCGGAAATCAGTCTTTTCTCTCTCTTTATGCACATCATAAACCCTAGTTTTTTTTGGGAGATATGGAGAACCTATGACTACATTAATTCTCAAAAATCTCCCAGCTATTATATGTTGGAACAAGATGAAGTAATAAGTATGGAGCGGAAAAACCATCAGTCTTAGAGATCATAGTTTAACGTTCTATTTTCCATTTTGCAATGAGAGGAGCAACAAGCTTATCAAATGGATAAGAGCAGGAGTGAATGAGTTGAATCTAAACAGTGAAGGAAGGAGTTAATGGAGAATGCGGAGGTGGCGGAATCATCTAGGAAGGAAACATTCTATCTACATGCATACATCATTAATTTTGGACTTGGCAATAGCAACATGCCAGAAACAAAAGCAATGCTATATGGACTCACACGGTGTGCTGCTTTCAAGTAAAAAAAAAGGAGGAGAAACAGACTCTCTCCTCTTGACCAACGTGTCTCCAGAGAATGGAAAATCCCCCCGAGAGGTCTATGACTTGTCTATAATATATTGTTATAGAGAAGCAAACAGACCTATGGATAAGCTAGCCAGCTTCAATCACCCATCTCCTTTACCTCCTTGAGAGAGCTTCCTAGGCTTGTAAGGAAACTCGTAACTATTAGAAGGAGCAGACTAATTAACAATACGTATATTTCTAGTTTTACACAGGCCTATATTTCTACTTCATTGAAATGACCATTTTTTTTTCCTTTCTTTAGGATAGACTGACTACCTCTGCCTTGATGATTGGGATGCCAATCTGTACCATTTTTGAATAATAACAATGATCAAATGGCATAAATTCAAAAAAAAACTTTGCTTATGATATATCTCATCTCTTGTGCATAGGTCATGGGCTGGTTCGCTCAGGTATATTAAGGCATCGAATGCCAATCTTGCTTAGCTCTAGGATGGAGGCATGAACAAATGTCCCCATCATTAGCATTCGACCAAACTGACATGATCATAATTGCACCACCAAAAGTTGTTGCTACAGTTGGGAATATTTCAAAACACGTCTAAACCCCTCAAGTCTCCAAACAAACCATAAGCAATATTATCAACTTATAAAAATACTCGAAATGGGAAATCGGATGCTCTTTCAGAAAGCAGTAGCAGGGGATGTTTTGAAGGTTGAGACTTGAGAGGGATGGGGGTCATAAATGTTGCATCTGAGGTGTTAATTAACCTAGTTATAATTTGATTTTGAATAAAATAATATTTCGTTTGTAAATACTTTTACTCATTTCCAGAGGGCAAAGTTTGGCCATTTTGTACAACTCAAGCCCAATTTTGAGCCTTTTAAGATGCTTGGCGAATGACCAGTTCCTACTTACGAAAACAAAAGAAAGAGATGTTGGTTGCTATACGATTTTGTTAAAATAGCTAGTCTACTAGGAATTGTTGTCTGTAACACAAGAAGCTCAAATTTGGTCAGTGGAATTAAATACTAATAGGAGCCTTAGTTCTTACAAAACATTAATAAGATAATAAAACTGTTTTACCTATATTACTGCAGTCTGCAGGATTGGATTAGTAACTTTACACAGATTTACAAGCTATGTCAATCATGTATCCTTCTTCATTAGGTTGTTCAATCAAAGTCCAATAGTCTGGTATCTTCGTGGAAATCTTGGAGTCCCCTTGTTTAAATCAATCCAGTGTCAAAGACATTTGTTCCCTCATTTTCTGATACACTGCTAAAGATACTCCTGCTTATTCTCAACTAAATCGGGCCTAAAACTCTTTTCATCTCCAATTCTTAACCAATCACGCCTTCCTGATTGCACCACATGCATATCCAGCATAACACCAAGGGCTTAAGTTTGCTGTCTCCAAGTTTCAATCAATGATCTTCTCACCAGTCGAAAAGGCATTCCAAACTACTGTTCCAACCAAGTAAAGCCCAACTGAAACCTTAAAGACATCATCCCAAGAACCTGAGAAGCCAGAGAACAGAAAATATAATTCATTTAAGGGACACATGCTTTTGAAGGGCTATCATGTCTTTATTTGGTCTCAAGACTCAACACACTGTTCTATCTTGACAGATGATGAGAAAATGAGTAGTCATACTGACTGCAAATAAGGCCTTCCTCCCCCCTAGAGTGGAAAGCGTTACTGACATTGCAACGCGATTAAGGACCATTTTTTTAGCTCCTACATTGCCAAGCTAATGCTTTTGCAAACCATGATAACAAGACAGTGGTTGTTAAGTCTGTTGATCAGCTGAACGCAACTCTCCTTATTATTAACAAGAACAGGGTCTAATTCGAATGGTTTAATTTTCACAAAGCATA